AAAAAAAAAAATTATTTTTTTCCCCCTTTTTTGACTTTTAAAAAAAAAAAAAAAAAAAAAAAAAAAAAAAAAAACGTTTACTCTGCATTATAAATGCAAGAGCCAGTTAATTGCCACTGAACGTTTTATTTTTGGGCAAGGCCAACCTGTTTCATAGTCTCATCCTTGGGCCATAAGCAGCATGACGAACCGCATGCTTCCTGCTATGTCTTTAAGAACGCCTTGGTGCCAAAGCTGTTGCCAGGGCAACTGGTGAAAAAACACTTCTGATGAAATTTCCAGTCTAATAACAACTAATTGCAGAGAATGAAAATTCCCTACAAAGACACTGCCTTATTCCCTAATGGAACTGTGACACTTGAGAGTTTACAGGATTCTGCTGGGATATTCTGCATTCTTCTCTCTGAGCCTAACTGCACAGGAATGAATCATGCTGTGAGGCCATTGTTACCCATGCATGTAGTCCCATGCATGTTACAGTAAATATAGATATGTCAGCATATATCCACATTCAATAAACATTTCTCTTTTTTGTGTGTGTGTTCGTATCCTTTTCAGATTACTGAACTGCCAGACAAGACGTTCCCTCTTGGACATTCTCCAAGGGGCCTGGTAACCATGGAGACACCGTTGATCGCTTAGTATGTTAAAACACGTTATTCTGGACATCAATACATGGTGTGACATGTAATAAGGCTATTAAATAGTGTGGGGTGGGTGTTATTTTCATTTTTGAGATTAATGTAAATCCTACTCAACCTGTTATGTGTGTGAATTAATACACAGGTTAGCCAAGTGTTGTCCTCACCGCGTGCGTTTCCTCTTGGATAGCATAAACAGTTCCATAAAAACAGATACTTAGAAAAATCCTTTGCCTTGGCAATCTATAATATCCTTTATCTGCACGGCTTTGGCATGGCGAGACAGAGAGGAGAAAGGAGAGGGAGAGAAGCAGAGAGGGAGGATCTGTTTATATGAAAGGACAATAACGCCCTTTGGGAGGCAAAGAGAAATAAAAATCAACCCAGAAACGCGAATAGATTCAAATAACAGCCCGAACAAAAACACAGTCTGCGACACCTTCAACGTCAAGGGAAGTCAAGGCAGCGTTGCAGCACTTACCATGTCGGGGTTCAGCCGTGCTAAAATGGCGAAGGTGGACAGTCTGTCACACACGCATTTGGTTCTGAATGAGTCGACGAGCACGGCTCTGCAGCCCCTGGCAGACCAAGATCCCAGCAGAGAGGAGCTGCACGAAGACAAACACACACACGCACACACACACACACACGCAGAGAAAAGCGATGCGGTGAATACAGAGCCAGGAAAAAAATAGAAAAGACGGCGCGCGCTTCAAATCCCACCGCGTTTACACCGCCTTTTTAATCCGTTTTCCATCTCCGCCGGCTGGGCTGCAGCAGGAGCGGAGAGGAGAGCCGAGTGAGCGCGGCGTGAAGCGGCTGCTGAGCGACACACTGTAAATTATTAATATTATTATCAAAATAATAACGATTATTATTAATGTCTAACTATTGGATAGGACTGTTCTTAATTAGTCTTCTCAAATTAATATTTAAATTCGTGTCTGTCTTTTCACTTTCCTGATTTCTTTTTAAAATGCCCCAATGTGCACTTGCGCACCACCAAACAAGCATGAATAAATAAAATGCTACAAGCACCTGGAAGAAAATGCCCAATTTGGCTTCAGTTTGGTCCATATGCAGACCAGAGGGGAGTTTATAAATGATTTGATTATCAAGGAGCTGGCAGGTCTATGGCAGAAGAGCAATAGTGCTCCTGGCAGTTGCCAGAGATTGAAAGTCAGTCGTTAGGGTGAGTGAAGGTCATCAGACAGATGATGGATAATTAGGCAGCTTTACCAATAATTGTTTTGTTGAAATTGACCCTCACTCAAACAGATCTGGCTGTTTTCGGACTCATTTTGGGATGCACCAATTTGAAGTGTGGGATCCACTCAAATTCCAGCTAGGTCTTAGATAATACACCAAAGTTTAGGCTAATTTATATAAATTTGAATGGGTTTTTTTATGTAGATTAAGAGAAAAAAGAAATAGGACATGATCTAAACTTGTCTGACATCCAAAATAGACCGTATAGGAACAGGGAGAAGTATTATATATGTCATCTTCCTAAGTTAATTACTGCCCAAATAAAACCTAAACAATACCAGTACCATTCTCAATTTTCAAGTTTCTATATTACACAAGTAAAGATAAGCAAGAACAACCAATGTTCAAATTTCATGTGACAGAAACATTGAGCAGCTTTATCAACCTGTTTCTTAAAAATTGTTGAGTTTTTGGATTTTTCTTCCCACCCATCACCCAAATCATAATTCCACAAGTCAAAATACACAAATCCCATTTTAAATTTGGTGTACCTCCTAAGACAGCACCCCTGTCTCTTCCACTAAGCAGGTTTTGTTGTTACCGGGAAGCAAAGAGTTATTGGCCTGAACATAATTATAGCCTTACTGAATTTGATCAAATTAGCCAGATGCTTTAGAACAGGGGTCACCAACTCCAGTCCTCAAGGGCTACCATTCTGTAACTTTTAGATGCGTCTCTGCTCAAACACACCTGGATCAAATAAACTGCTCGTTTCCAGGCTATTGCAGAGAGGAATGAATGCTGGTGAGGGAATTCAGACATTTTGGAGCAGAGGTGAATATAAAAGTTGCAGGATGGTAGCCCTTGAGGACTGGAGTTGGTGACCCCAGCTTTAGAAGCAATGACTTCACGTGTCCCCACGCTGTCCCACATTATTTACAATCCTGATTGTTTTGGCATTTTTTTGTAATATGTACAATAGCTATAGGGTTGAGCAGATGTTACTCCGGAGAACCACTTCCTTATTAATGTCAGAAAAACTGAAAAAAATGCTGATTGACCCCGAGTCTGACTATAGGTGACAACTTCCTGCTTATTGATAAATAGAAAATAAACCAGGTTTTTGGGTTAACCACCAGCTTACATATTTAAGCAATTGGAAATTATCATCAGATTTGATTTGATGATAAGTTCTCTTTGCATCTAAAAACTAACTTGTCTGATACAAAGTGCAGTAATGCTGATAGAAAGGTCCAGTAACTCGTCCCTGCAATCTATCTATGAAGAGTGTCATCAGACTTGTATAACCCTTGTTTGGAGACTAGTAGATTTAAATATTAATTTGTTCCTGCATCCATCAGAATAATAAATGAGGTTGATATAGAGTTTACTGTCATGCTGTTGATGCTCTGGTTTGATTTGTTGGTTTGTTTACTTGTTCATATTTTATTCTGCAAGGTGTAATATGTGTTTTAAGTGAACAATATGTGTATTTTGGTTTTTGTGGTGTCAGCATGATTTTATTTTTTGTAGTGTATTTAATTATGGTGGCACTGCCACCGTGGCAGTTTCTTAACAATAATTATATTATTTGATATATGCGCTTTATATATCAAATTGAAATCTCAAAGGGAGCAGTCTAACAGAAGTGAGGTTGCCATTTTGCACCATTAGTTCTTCTGACCTACATCACCAGGCAAGGCAGATGAAATGTCTTACCCAAAGACACAAAGAACAGGGGCAGACAGACCAGGAATCGTACCGGCAATCCACAGATTGCAGTATAAACTCCTACCACTGTCGCCCCCATTTGCGATTGTTTTTACCATCAATGCACACTTACCATCAAGTGTGCATTAATGGTAAGTGTACATCAATGCACACTTACCATCCTTAATAAAAAATTTTTGGGATATTTTAGGAGTCTTTTGTCTACAGGACCCAAAACTGAAGAGTTGCTATTTTGGATCTAAATGCCTCATAGCAACCATCACATGATTAACTTCATAGCCTTCCAGCAGGTTTTTAACAGAAGATACATTATTCAAATAAACCCTTTTAGAGTGACTGTGGGCCTAGGTTCTTCTGTTGTGTCCCAACAACCTTAGATAAACTTTGATAATAGTTGAGGAAAAAAAGGTTGAACCCACAGTTTTCACTTTCTTGATTTTCCAAAATCAGAGCACCTGCCACAAGGCAGATAAGTGAGACTGAGAGTACAGGACATACAGATGCAACGTGAATGCTCTCTCTCATAAGAACACTTCACTTCATAGAAAGCAGCTTGTTCCTTCATTAGAGTTTAAATCATCAAGAATGGAACATTAGAAACAAAACACGTTGATGAAGAGCCTGATTACAGGACGATTGCTGCTTTCTTTGCTCTAAAACAGCTCAGTAGGATGAAGGTGACCTAATCAGCACTGGCTTACTTTATGTCATGTCAGTAACTCTGGAAAGTCTATTACTGGTGGAAATAATAAAGACGCTTTAAAAATATGAACCATATCTCCACACAGTTTTCCATCGCTTGAGTTTATAAGCAGAGAGGGTTTAGGATGTAGTTAGTTTTGCTTCTTAGCAGCAGGCAGCGACTCAGTGCTGACATCAAGCACTGAGTCGCTGAAATCCAATCTATTAGGACACAGAGCAGTTTTTCTGTTGAAGTGATTAAGTCTCTTTGTGAGGCACACAGGAGCTTGCAGACACTCTTGCCCTCGCTGTTTAATTAGATATTTAGGTGCTGGTCCAGCAGCCCTGCATGAAAGGATGTCCTCTGCCAAGTAAAGGTCACATGGATAAAGAGCAATGTGCCAGCACAGAGGAAACATAGAAAAGGCCTCTTAGAGGAGTGAATATGTATGCTTTGATACAATTCAAAGATAAAGAATTTGGGGGGAAATCTTTAATTGTTGTTGCAGTACTATGTGGCAGGTCGTAGCCCAGTGTTGCATCATTTTATGCGTCTTAATCTGACGCATGGATGTGGATGTGAGGATGGTCCCGTCCCATCATTGTTTCATATGGGCAACCAAAAATATGTTGAAAAAATAATAACTTTCAAAAGTATTTATACACAATGATCTTTGTTCATATGATGTGTACCTGGACTTCTTTAGTGCTTCCAGCACAATCCACCTGTCTGCTCCAGTAAAAGCTGACCAGGATACGAGAACGTCTTCAATGACAGAAGTTCTCGCTGTCGTTTGGTGTCAAATCTGTCGCAGGTCAACACCAAATCTGACACTGTGATCAGCAGCACAGCACCACCGCAGGGAACTGTCCTGTGATCTCTCCTCCTTTATCCTTTATAGCTCAGAGTTCTCATATAACTTTGAGTCATATTACATCTAGACAACATGGCTGTCTTAAGGTTCATAGGATCTCAGGAAAAGCAGTACAGCAGTTTGGTAAATAACTTTGTCACCCAGTGCTACACAAACCATCTGCAGTTCAACGCTAACAAAGTGGCCATGATCTTTGGGAGTTTCACACCAAGTTTATGACCAATTTAGTTTGTAGGAGAGATGAGGTGGACACGATCAACACATACAAGTACCTCAGGCAGTGAATGGACAGCAAACTGGACCAGACAAGCAACACACGACTGTCTGTAGTAGCCAATGTCCTTTTCTATGCAGTGGTGTGATGGGGGAGCCGCACGACAAAGAAGGAAACATCCATGCTGGAAAATCTTATCAGTATGACTGGTCACGGGGTCAGCACGAAGCTGAAAACTCTGCTGACAGTGGCAGAGGACAGGACACTTACACTACTGGCCATTATGACCAATAGAAACGACTGATAGAAATGCTATTGCTAACTTCCAATCAGACAAATAGAAATGCATCTTAACCTTGCACCCAGAAGTGTAGAACATAACTTGTAAAATGTCATTTGAATAGAATTTTTGCAAAAATAAATAAATACAAAAAATAAATTATTTTAAAAAATACAATTTTAAAAGATATAACCTAAAAGATTTTTTAAAAGAAATTATTTGAAAAAATAATATCTCACAAAATAGCAAACTGCATAAATAATAGGCTCAGCCACTGAAGTTTTATTTTTGAAATCCATTTTTTCACAATTTAATGTCTTGTAATATGTTCTTTGCTTGCAATAATATTGGAACAAATTGATCTCCATAGACCTTAAAGCCCTGGCATAGAGGGAACCAAATATAAATGCATGCCACACTTTTCAGAATTTGTGAGAAAAATGTATCATTTTGTGTAAATCTGTCACATCTGTCACATAAAATCATTCACAATGCAGTTTGAATAGAAGACTTTATTACTGTCACTAAATATAGTGACAATAATATATTCATTCATTCATTCATTCATTCATTCATTCATTCATGCTTTAAACATTAAAAAAAACACTTCATACTATG